AAAAAAAAAAAAAAAAAAAAAAAAAAAAAAAGTCTGGTGATGTAGCTCAGTGTAAATGAAGCTCTAGGTTCAATCCTCATAACCACACTCACGCAACTGAACTTTGGATAATAACAGGTCAATGACCATGATAAAAGTAGGACCATGAGAGAAAGTAAGGGAGGGAGGTGTTTACTGAAGATGGGCTGATTTTCAGGGGAGATTTGGAATTCCAATACAGAGAGGGCCAGGGATTTAGTTCTGGGATTTGCACTGCCTAGCAAGTGCAAGGGCATGAGTTCTATCCCTGGTACCAAAAAGTAAAGTATTCCAGCACAGGGTATAGCAAATGTAAAACCCCTGGACTGGAAGTAACCTGGATGTAACTGAGGAATGGTGGGGAGGTCAAAAGAGAGAGCAAGAGGGCAAGAAGTGTACATGAGGTCATCAAGGGCCTGACAGGACTCAGAGGGTGTGTGAATTCTATTTTAAGTGCTGTGGAAAGTCAGGGAAGGATTTCACCAGAGCAGAGATACAAGCTGGCGTGGCTTTGAAAAAAACTGCCCCTGGCTGGAGAGGAATGGAGTGTGGGCAAGAATGGAAGTTGAGGGGTTGGGCGTGCAGCACAATGGAGAGTGCTTGGCTACCATGTACCAGGTCCTGGGTTCCATTCACAGCACTGAAAGTGTTTGGCACAATCATCCAGGTGAGAAATAACTGACTGGAACCATGCTGTGAAAGCAATTACATTCTGATTTTTTTTGTTGTTTGTTTATTTGAGACAGGATCTCGCTATGTAGTTTGGGCTTGCCTTGAACTCACTATGTAGCCTAGGCTGCCTCAAAATCACTGAGATTCTTCTGCCTCAGTTTCCCAGTTGTGGGGATCACAGGGACATACCACCACCACCCCTGGCTAGCAATTGGGTTCTGGGAGTGCACAAGCAAGCATGGTCAGGTGGACACAAAGCACACATGGCCAGTGAGGTCAGTCCTACGGGGAGGTACTTCAGAAATCAGGGCCAGTCAGCACAAGCCAAGCAGGGAACAAGAAGTATGTCGGGGGGGCAAGAAGAGGAGGCACATTAAGGGTAAGGCCCCTGTACAGAGCACCTCCATCTCCCCAGGTCAGCAATCTGGAGAAGATCTTACGGAGCCTGCTGGAGTACTCTCAGGATGTGAGTAACTGATTGATTGGTTGGGCTTGGGAGAAGGGCTGGGGTCTGTGAAGCTCATTTTCCCTCTCTACTACCTCGTCCTTAGGTTCTGGGGCATCCAGTGTCAGAACAGCACCTCCCGGATGTGAGCCTGCTTGGCCAGTTCTCAGACCCCTCTGAGCTGGGCAAGCTGCTACAGTTGGTGTTGGGCTGTGCAATCAGTTGCGAGAAAAAGCAGGGTATGGGGAAGGCCAGAGGGAGAGCTCAGGGGTCTGCAGGGGATGGCTTGAGAAAATGGTCATTACTCCCCTGAGCTGCCCCTGGGTCTCAGGTACCCAACCTTGATCCCTAGAGCACATCCAGAGAATCATGACACTGGAGGAGTCAGTTCAGCATGTAGTGATGGAAGCTATCCAGGAGGTAGGTATGGGGGTGTGTGGGTGTGTGTGTGTGGGTGTGTGTGTGTGGGTGTGTGTGTGTGTGTGTGTGTGTGTGTGGTGATAGAGGAATGTCAGGAGGGGATGGTTTCAGGGCTGAGAGAGGTAACTGGGCACAAGCCCTGCTAAGATCTAGTCTGCCCAGAAGGCAGCTGGCCAGTCATCTCTGTCTCATGTCTGCCAGCTGTAAATCAACCTTGCAGGCTCCAGGTACCTTCCCTCGATGTCAGAGGCAGGGGGCAGCCTTGGGGCTCAGGTTATTGGGCAGCACTGGCTTTGGGGACCTGAGAGTAGACACCTTCTTAGGCTGGATTGGAGAAGGCTTGAAGGCTCTCCTTAGAGAGCTCAACTCGGAGCCAGGTGTGGTGATGCACATCTGTCATCCCAGCACTTGAGAGGCTGAGGCAGGAAGATTGTCATGACTTTGAGGCCAGCTGGGGCTCTGTAGTGAGTTCAAGGCCATCCTGAAATACATATCGAGACCCTGTCTCTTTTTTTTTTTTCTTTTTGGATTTTTGAAACAGGCTCTCACTATGTAGTTGAGACTGACCTAGAATTCACTATGTAGCCCAGGCTGGTCTGGAACTCACAGCAATCCTCCTGCCTCAGCCTCCCGAGTGCTGTGATTACAGGCATGTGCCACCATGCCTGGCTGAGACCCTGTCTCAAAAACAAAAATCAGGTGGGGATTTAGATCAGTGGCACCTCATCTGCCTAGCAAGTTCAAGATCCTGAGTTTGATTCCCAGTACAAAAAAAAAAATCAGAGCACTCAGCTCATCATAATACCTCCCCTACCCCTTAGCTCATGACCAAAGACACCCCTGACTCCCTGTCACCAGAGACATATGGCAACTTTGACACACAGGTAAGGGTAGAGAACCTTGCTGATGGGCCAACCCCATAGATGGGGCTGTACAAAGTGGGAGGAGCTTGTCCTGAAGCCTATAAACCACCCCCTCCTCAGTTGGGGTGCGGGCCTCTCTTCTTGCCAGGTCGCCAGGGCTCCTGAATTACCCTTCTCTCAGTCCCCTGGGGCTCCCTGGGGCTGGGGCTCCACTCCTGGCTTAGGGATCCCTTGGCTGGGCTCCCCTTTCCCCCTAGAGATCCCAGCCTTTCTCCCCCAGTCCTCCTGGCTCCGTAACCCCCACCCATTCCCTGCCATCTGCTTAGTCCCGCAGGTACTACTTCCTGAGCGAGGAGGCTGAGGAGGGGGATGAGCTCCAGCAGCACTGTCTGGACCTAGAACGGCAGGTGGGGAATTGGGGGGACTTGGGTCAGCTGCTCCCCCATCTAGGCTCCAGTTAATTCGCCTCCCTGCCCACAGCTGGTGCTTCTGTCCGAGGAGAAACAGAGCCTGGTGCAGGAGAATGCAGCACTACGGGAACGAGTGGGCCAGCCAGAGGCTGAGGGCACCTCAGGCCTCACAGCCAAGAAGCTACTGTTGCTCCAGTCCCAGCTAGAACAGCTGCAGGAGGAGAACTTCAGGTGTGGCAGCTGAGGACCAGGACCAGGAGGCCAGGAGATGAGGGTGGAGGTAGCAGCCCCTTTCTGAACCCCTTCCCTGCTACCTCCAGGCTGGAGAGCAGTCGGGAGGATGAACGGCTCCGCTGCACAGAGCTGGAGCGTGAGGTCACCGAGCTGCAACAGCGGAACCAGGTGCTGACTAGCCTGGCCCAGGAGGCACAGGCACTGAAGGATGAGATAGATGAGCTGCGGTGAGCAGGGCTTCCTGGGAGCCCACGGCACATCTCCAACATGGCCGGAGTGCCCCCAGACTTCCCCATGCCACCCTAAGCCCCACAATACCCGCTGGGCCCTACTGCATTATCCTGAACCCCTTACATCCCTGGACTCCAGCAGACACCCTGCACCGATGGTGCTCCCAAGGCCCCATGATGCTGTTATCGCATGTTATAATCCAGACCCCAAGAACCCTCAATAAACAGAGGACCCCCCCAACAACACTCCAACCCCCCCAGTCTGGGTCCCAACATGCCCCTGGATCTCATGGGCCCGCCAGAACCCTACAGCTGCAGCCCTTTGTGACCCTGCTCTGTCTTCTATAACCCTGAAGACCCCCTGTGACCCTACGACACCCTTAGATTCTAAGTAATGCCAGAGTACCTAGTGAGTCCCTTCCGTACTGTATATTCAAAAACCCTAGTGCTCTGCCTTATAACTCTCCCAAACCCCCACCATGTCCTTGGGGGGGGTTCAGTTTCCTTTGGGTCCTCATTATTCCCTCTGACCCAACACCTGTTTCTTTGTTTTTTGTTTTGGTACTGGGGATTGAACTCAGGTCCCTTTGCTTGCAAGGCAGATGGTGGAACCACTGAGCTAAATCCCTGGCCCGTTTCTTTGTTTGTTTGGTTGGTTGGTTTTTTTGAGACAGGGTCTCACTATGTAGTTCAGACTGACCTGGAACTCACTATGTAGCCCAGGCTGGTCTCAAACTCACAGCGATCCTCTTGCCTCAGCCTCCCAACTGTTGGGATTACAGGCGTGCACCAACACGCCCGGCTACATCACCTGTTCTTATCCCCTGTTCTTATCCCCACAAATCCACCCTGAGCTAGGAGTGGTGGTGCACACTTGTCATCCAGCATTCTGGGAGGCCAAGGCAGTATGGTTTCAAGTTCAAGCCCATCCTGGGTATTTAGTAACTTATGGAGAGCCTGTCTCAAAAATAAAATGATCCCTGAGGCTTCTCTGATTGTAACCCTTGGCTAACCATTACCTTAATGACCCCCAACAGCACCAGGCCCTGGTTAGACCTTTAACCCTCACGATAGACCTCATGAACTCCTCACCTTGAACCCATGCCTTACCAGGTTGCACCTTTCCTGTCCTGAGGACTCAGCATCCCAGCTAACCCGTGACTGTCCCCTTTCCTGACCCCCACAGGCAGTCCTCAGAGCGCGCAGGTCAGCTGGAAGCTACCCTGAACAGCTGCCGTCGCCGCCTAGGAGAGCTGCGGGAGCTGCGGCGACAGGTGCGGCAGCTGGAGGAGTGCAATGCGGGCCATGCGGAGCGCACGAGGCAGCTGGAGGACGAGTTGCGCAGGGCCGGCTCACTGCGTTCCCAGCTGGAGGCACAGCGGAGGCAGGTGAGGTCTGGGAAACTGGAGCAAGGGAGGCCCCGCCCTAGAGATAAGCCCTTGGCTCCCCCAACCCCGCATTCCCTCTACTTGGACCGCCCAGTGCTGCCCGAAGCCCCGCCCTCTCTCTGGCCACCACTCTCCTAACGCACAGGCCCAGATCTTCCCTAGGCAGGCTGCACACTTTAGGCCCACCCCTCCCTCGGGCCAGATCTGTTGAGTTTTGCAAGCCCCACTTTCTGCCTTTAAGCAACCTTTGCTCCAGCCCTTTCCCCTGCCTTGTCCTAAATCGATGCCCCTCCTTCCATCCCTGCTAACGTCACCCTCTTTTTTTTTTTGGAAACACGATCTGGCTATGTAATCCAGGCTGGCCTAAAATGACTAACCCAGGCTTGCTTGGAGCTCATGGCAATTCTCCTGCCTCAGCTACACAGTCCTGGGAATAGGAGCATGTATCACCACACCTGACCTCACCCCGCCTTTTTTTTTTTTTTGAGACGGACTCACTATGTAGTTCAGGCTGGCCTTGAACTCCTTATGTAGCCAAGGCTGGCCTCAAACTCAGTGTTCCTTCTGCCTCAGCCTCACCAAGTGCTGGGATGGCAAGCATGAGCCACCATGCCAGGCTCTCGCCCCTCCTTTCTGTTCAGGTTCAGGAACTGCAGGGCCAGCGACAAGAGGAAGCCATGAAGGCCGAGAAATGGCTATTTGAGTGCCGCAACCTGGAAGAAAAGTACAAGTTGGCAACAAAGGAGAAAGAGGTGAGGCTGAGGTTCTGCAGCCCAAGCTTGCCACCACCCCCTGCAACCCTTAGGAAGCAATCAGTCTCTGTCCTTGCCTCTGCAGCGGCTGCTGGCTGAGCGGGACTCTCTGCGAGAGGCCAACGAGGAGCTGCGCTGTGCCCAGCTGCAGCCGCGTGGGTTGACTCAGGCTGGTGAGCCGCAGGGCCCCGGGGAGGGGGTATGGCTGAACTTGAGCCCCAAGGACAGTTCTGAGAAAGAGGCCTCAGGGGCTGGGGCTGCCAGTGCACAGAGACCTGAAGACCCTTACATTCTCCAGACCCCTCGCTGGACCCCACCCCGCAAGGCCTGGAAAACTTAGCAGCAGAGATCCTGCCTGCAGAGCTCAGGTAATCCTGGGCATTTGGTGCTGGGACCCACCAGGCCGGCCTGGCCTCTCAGCCCTCTCCTGAAATGCGCAGGGACCAGAGAGCCTTGGTATTTGGTCTAGGCTTCCAGGTCCTAGCAGGACACCTGGGCTCTTCCACTCCCAATCCTGCTCTGACCTGGCTTAGGGCTCTGGCTCTTCTCCTTGGTGGCTTTGCAGCTGCATGATCCATTCTCAATGCACATGCAGAAATCCCTCACCCTAACCCTGCCCACTTTCATCTCGTGACCCCAAGGTGCAGCCCTGCACTCCAGTGGAGTCTTTGCTAGGCGCAGTCCCCTGCGATCTGCCCCATGAACTCTCTCCCAAACCAGCTGTTCCCCTTTCTGCTGCCTCATCCCCCTTCTAAACCTTGTGTTCTAGCGCCTTTCTGATCTGGCTCCGCCCCCAGGCCGTAAGAGCTCCGCCTTTAGTACCCAAGCCCCACCCACTCCCACAGCTGGTCCCCCACCCCACGCCCCCAGGTCGGGTTGGGCTACTTTCCCAAGGTCCCTCCTACCCCCATCTCCTTAGTTCTACCTGCTAGGCCGCCTCCGGCCCAGTTGGCCAGTGGGGATGACAGGTCCTCGGCCCTTCTGCCTGGCTCAACAGGGAGACGCTCCTGCGGCTCCAGCTGGAGAACAAGCGGTTGTGCCAGCAGGAGGCGGCGGACCGTGAGCGGCAGGCGGAGCTGCAGCGCCACCTGGAGGAGGCTAACCGTGCGCGCCACGCACTGGAGACTCAGAGACGGTGGGTGTCCCTCTGAGTGCCCAGCAGGGGTTGGATGGGGCCCAGCTGAGCACCCAGGCACTGAGCAACCCCTACCCCACAGGCTGAACCAGCAGCAGCTGTCGGAGCTGCGGGCCCAGGTGGAGGACTTGCAGAAGGCCCTGCATGAGCAGAGTGGCAAGAGCGAGGACGTGAGTGTCACTTTCCCCTGCTCAGCACTCCCCTCGTCCCCTGTAACCTTCCTCTCTCTCTTTCCCGCTGCCCACCTGGTGCAGGCCATCGTGAGTATTGTGGGCCCGGGGGGTGAGTGGGGAGGCACCCAGGCTCCCCTGCTGGCTAGGGGTTCAGACCTCTGGACCTCTCCCCACCTTCTGTTTCTCTCCCCAGCCCGCCCTACTGAAGAGGAAGCTGGAGGAACATCTGTAAGTGGCATGTGGCAAGAGGCCGGGCAAGGTGTTCGGGATGCATCCCCGGATACAGACAGGACTACAGACAGGTCGGGTCCAGGATGGTCTGCTGGACCCAGGGGAGGAGAGTGGCATGCATTAGGGTACAGTGGGGAGCCATAGAGGGATTTTCTTCCAGAAGTGATGGTTGCTTTTGTTTGTTTTTGAGAGAAAGTTTCACTAAATTGCTAAGTTTTGCAGGCTGGGCTGGAACTTGTGATTCCCCTGCCTCAGCCTCCCAGATTGCTGGGGTTGCAGGGGTACCCGGCTAGTTGTTAGTACTGTTGTTGTTTGCACAAAATTGCTTTTGGAAAGATCCCTGGATGCTCAGGGGATGGATCTGAAGGGTTTAGAATAGAAGAGGCTGGTGAGGGATGATTTTGACTGCACCAGTGTGGGCTGGGGAGAAGACAGAAGGGCACTGGCCCAGGGCCGCTGTGCTCTGATGGGAGGAAAGGGTAGGGCAGGACACAGAGCCCCTGAGGAGGCAGGTAAGGAGGTCCCCAGGTGGGGGCATTCCCACAGCTGAGAAGGCTGTACTTACCAAGGGACACTGGGACAAAAGAGAAGCCAAAGGGCTATGGGTGTGGCTAGTGGTAAAGCATTTGCCTAGCATGGGCAATGACCTGAGTTGTTCATCAGCACTGCAGAAAATAAAGAGCTAGGCACAGTGGTACATGCCTCTAATTCTAGTTGTTTGGAAGGCTGAGGCAGGAGGATCCCCGTTTGGGCCAACTTGGGAAATTTAGTGAGATTTTGTCTCAAAATAAAAAATAAGGCTGGGCATGGTGGTCCATGCCTGTAATCTCAATACTTGGGAGGCTGAGGCAGGAGGATTGCTATGAGTTCAAGGCCAGCCTGGGCTACATAGTGAGTTCAAGGCCAGGCACTATATCGTGAGATGCTGTCTCAACAAAAAACCAACAACAACAGGGCCAGGGTTCTGGCACCTGCCTCGTAAGCACATGGACTGGAGTTTGTTGATCCCCAGTACTGAAAAAAAAAAAAAAAAAAAAAAGCCAGGCATGGTGGCACACACCAACTATTAATACTCTGGGAGGCTGAGGCAAGAGAATCACAAGTTAGAGCCCCGCTATGGAACTTAGTGACTTAGTAAGACCTTTCTCAAAATAAAACAAAAAGGGCTGGGGATGTAGGCTCTGGATTCAGTCTCCAGGACTGACAAACAAACAATCAAGCTGGAACACACCTTCTGATCCCAGTACTCAGGAGGCTAAAGCAGGAAGATAGCCGCAAGTTTAAGGCCAATGTGGACTACATAGTGAGACCTTGTCTCAAAAAATAAAGGCAGGGCTGGGGATTTAGCTCAGCGGTTCGGTGGCCTGCCTTGCAAGCGCAAGGACCCAAGTTCAATCCCCAGTACCAAAAAAAAGGAAAAAAATCCTCAAAGCAAAAACAAAAGACAAGGCAGACAAGCCATCCGAGGGTCAGCCCACTGCTATCCTTCCACTGCAAACAGGCAAAAATTGCATGAGGCGGACCTGGAGCTGCAGCGGAAGCGAGAGTACATTGAGGAGCTGGAGCCCCCCACAGATAGCAACAGTAAGTGGGGCTCCCGGGCCAGGGTGGGGCAATCCCCAAGGGCAGCACGGCTCTGAGGACCCCCTGTCTTCCAGCGGCCCGGCGCATTGAAGAGCTGCAAGACAGCCTGCAGAGGAAGGATGCGGACCTTCGGGCCATGGAGGAGCGGTACCGCCGCTATATCAACAAGGCGCGAACAGTGAGGACTGCGACCCACAGCCCTCCTGCCCCGGTGCCCACTCCCTGTGCCTCTGTTTTTTTTTTTTTTTTGATCCTGGGATTCGAACTCAGGGCTTCACACTTGCCAGACAGGTGCTTCACGTCTGAGCCCCTGTGCCTCTCTTCAGTGCTCACTTCCTGCCCACCTTTGCCCACCACTCTGCCACCACACCACACCAGGACACAGACCTCTGTCCTCTTCCCACTGCCACGGGCTGTCATGTGTTCCACCCACCCCACGTGTCTGAGGGGACTATGAGTTCAAGGTCACCTTGGCTGTGATTACCCCCCCCCAACCCCTAGGTCATACAGACCCTGGAGCCCAAGCAGTGGCCGCCTACAGGGGTGCCCCCAGAACTCCACACCCTGAGGACAAAGCTCCAGGAGCAAGACGTCCGCATCCGGCACCTGGAGGTAGGTGTCTTTGTCCCTGTTTTGTTTTCTTGTTTTTTTTTTTTGAGACAGAGTCTCAGTAATTCAGGCTAGCCTTGAACTCACTATGTAGTGCAGGCTGGCCTTGAACTCACAGGGATCCTCCTACCTCAGCCTCCCAATTGCTGGGATGACAGGTGTGCACCACCACCCCTGGCTGTCCTTGTTCCTTTGTGCTGCCCCAGCACACCCAGGCCCCTGATTCTTCTCTCTGGTAGATGGATTTTGAGACGAGCCGCAATCAGCGGGAACAGGAGGAAAAACTGCTCATCAGTGCTTGGTACAATATGGTGAGAGCACTGTCCCTGCAGCTGGAGAACTGAGGGTACCACGGCTTCCCAGATCCTGGCCAACCATATTCCTCCCCTAGGGCATGGCCCTGCAGCAGCGAGCTGGTGAAGAGCGGGCCCCTGCACATGCCCAGTCCTTCCTGGCACAGCAGCGGCTGGCCACCAATGCTCGCCGTGGACCCCTGAGACGCCTGGCACCTCTGAGTCTTCACCCCACCGACAAGCACTGACCACCTCTGGACCTGCTGCCCTCTCTGCCTGCTGGAACTTTATCTGCCTTTGAATGGCACCCAGCATCAGGCCGTGGCCAGCTGGGTGACAGGCTTGGAGCTATGACCTCTGCCCTTTGCTCCCTCAGGTTGGGGGTCTAGGAAGGGCAGGTGGCAGGGGTGACCTTTTGGTTTTTTTTTTTTTTTTTTTTTTTTTTTTCTTTTTTTTTTTTGGTATCAGGGATCAAACTCAGGACCTTGCACTTGCAAGGTAAGTGCAGTGCCACTGAGCTAATCCCTGGCCCTTTAGCAATGTGAGTCTTGTCCTTGATTCTGTCTCTGGAGATACAGTGATGTGCTATCTGGGCAGAGCCTGATTTTATATTTGAGAAAATGTACAATAAAGATTTTAAACCTACCCTGGCTGGACCCTGGATGCCAGGATGAGGGAGAGAAGATGGGGCAGGGATTCAGACTATTGCTTCTGTTTGTTTTGTTTTGTTTTTGTACCAGGGATTGAACTCAGGTCCTTGTGCTTATGAGGCAGGCAGCAAAAACCACTGAGCTAAATCCCCAGCCCTGCTTTTATCTTTTGTAAGATTTGTTTGTTTGTTTTGAGACTACGTTTTGCTGTGTAGCCCAGACTGGCCTTGAATGCATGGCAATCCTCCTGTTTCAGCCTATTGCTTTTAAAGGCCCATCATGAATTTTTTGTTTTGTTTTGTTTTGAGACAGGGTCTCACTAAGTAGTTGAGACTGCCCTAACCTGGGCTGGTCTTGAACTCACAGTGATCCTCCTGCTTCAGCATCCTGAGTGCTGGGATTATAGGCATGCAACACCATGTCTGGCTTATCATGCATTCTTACTGAAGAGTGAATGACTGATAGTAGCCATTGAAAGTTGAGAATCATGTGTTTGTGTGTGGTGGTAGTGATGGTTTCTTTCTGGTTTTTTTTTTTTTTTGAGACAGGGTCTCATTATATAGTTCAGGCTGGCCTTAACCTCACTTTGTAGCCCAGGTTGGCCTCCACCTCATGGAGATCCACCTGTCTGTCCCAGCCTCCTAAATGCTGAGATTACAGGCGTGCGCCACCACACCTGGCAATGGTGGTGGTTGCTGAAGAAGCTCCAGAAAATCCTTGTTCTCATGAAATGAATGTTTTCAATAAAGAGAAATAGAGACTCCACAAAATAGAGGGCTATGGGCTCAGTGTAGAGTGCTAGCCAAACATGTATAAGGCCCTGGGTTCCATTCCTACTACTGCAAATAAAAGAAATGAAAGTTTGATACAAGTACTACAGTTAAAAATAAAGCAGGCAAGAATGACGTGGTGCAGGAATTGAACACGCAAGGTAAACATTTTAATAAAAGCCCAGGAGAGGGCCAGGGATTTAGCTCTGGTTCTGCTGCCTGCCTCGCAAGGGCAAGGACACAAATTTGATCCTGAGTACAAAAAGAAAAAACCCAAAATAAAAACAAACAATAGAAGCCCAGGAGACAAGGCCTCTCTCATGGAACAACATCTATAAGCAGGAACCTGAAGGAGGGGAGGGAGAGGCTCTGAAGGAGTCTCAGGAAGACTGGCTCAGGCAGAGGAAGCAGCTTGTGCAAAGGCCCTGCAATGAAACCTAGGTTGGTGGGTTACAAGGACAGCAAGTGGCCAGTGTGGGGGAATGGAGAGTGTGAGGGAGCATGAGAGCAGAGGTGGGCAGGGAGACTGTTCAGGGCCTGAAGGCTGTGGGGGGCAGGAGCCATAGAGAATTCTAAGCAAAGGAAGGAAACTGATTCTGGTTTGGCAGCCAGTAGCACTAAGAAAAAAACTTAGGTCGCTAATCCAGGAGAATGGGTGGGTGACACTAGGGGTTGTTGCCAGTACAAGGGCCCTGGAGGAGTGAGAAGTGGTTGGCTGCTGGATACAAAGAAAGTTAAACTGGTGGGACTTCATGACGAGTTAATGAGACATATTCGAGAGGATTCCAGAGCCAGAGGTAGTAGTCCTTATCTGTCATTCCAGTGCCCAGGAGGCTGAGGCAGGAAGATCACTCTGAGCTTGAGGCCAGCCTGGGCTACGCAATGAGTTCAAGTTCAGCCTGAACTACATAGTGTGACCCTATCTTTAAAAAACCAACCAAGCTGGGTGTGGTGGTGCACATGTTTAATCCCAGCACTCAGGAGGCTGAGGCAGGAGGATAACTGTGAGTTTGAGCCCAGCCTGGGCTACATACACAAGTCAGTCTCAATTACACAGTGAGACCCTGGCTCAAACCCCACCCCCCAAAAAAACCAACCAGCCAGGCACAGTGGTACATGACTGTAATCCCAGTATTCCAGAGGCTGAGGTTGGAGGATCATAATGAGTTTGAGGCCTGCCTGAACTGCATAGTGAGTTCCTGTCTCAAGCAATACCAAAACCAAGAGTCCCAGAAGGACCATAAGATTTGGCCTCATCTCCTGGAGGGACAAAACAGACAGACACTGGGCTGAGCAGGCTGGGAAGGGACTGGGAGGTCGTTTGTATTTGAAGGTATTACCTTTAAAGTCACTGTGAGAAGCTGGAGAGCAGTGGCTCATACTTGTAATCTCAGCTGCTTTGGAGGTTGAGGCAGGAGGGTTGCAAATTCAAGCCCAGCTTGGGCAATTGAGTGAGACTTTGCCTGAAAATAAAAAAAAGGCTGGGGAAGTAGCTCAGTGGTAGAGCCCCTGGGTTTGATTCCCAGTACTGGGGGAAGAAGTTACTGTGAGATCTTTGCATGATAGTTCAGAGGAGACAGTTGGAGACAGGGCAGGGAAAGAAGGCATCCTGGGTAGACTTCTGATTCCGGGTTGAGGGATTTAGCCTCACTAGCAGGAGGTCCTGAGTTCAATCCCTAGTATGAAAGAATGAAAGAAAGAAAGAAAGAAAGAAAGACTTCTGATTCGGGAGTCATCTAAATGTAAAATTAAGGCCTGCAGCACAGGGGACTACATTTCCGAGGCTCCAGGCTTGATGCAGGAGAGTTTGTAGAGTATTTGAGAATGCAGGGGCTTGGGAATGTAGGAAGCTGTGGCTGGCTTGTTAATAGAGCTAGGGTCCCTGCTATATTTCAGAGAGTAGAATTTGGCAAGAAGTGAACAGGTCATCTCCCAAAACCCTAGAGAAATCCCCAAATCTTTAGTATAATGCCTGGCAAGAGAAGTCACAACAATAGTTTGACTTTGCGCGCGCGCGCGCGCACACACACACACACACACACACACACACACACACACAGTTTATTGACCACCTACTACACACACAATACTTTAAAGCCAGCCTTTCACCCTCAGTACATCTGGAGGTAAGCACGCCTACGTCTGCTGGAAGGGAAGAACAGGCAAGACATACTCGTTGAGGCTGCTGGGGCAATGAAACTGGGAAGTGGATCTAGCTTTAAGGACTGGCTGTTCAAAGCATGGGGAAGAGCTGGGTTTGGTGGCACACACTTGTAATCCCAGAATTTGGGGGGCTAAGGCAGGAGGATCTCCAAGAGTCCAAGGTCAGCCTAGGCTACTCAGTGAATTCAAGGCCAGGGAGAAGTACATAGCAAAACAAAGCATCTGGGCCAGACCCACGCAGGCTGAGTTCATGCAGGCACAGCAGATTTATGCAGCCTGGCCTGGGGTGGGTGGGCTTGGGTTTCTGTCCTTTGGAGGCCTGGCCCCAGGCGCTCAGGCCAGGTTCTCCTCCTCCTCACCAATAGGGCTGGGCAGCCAGGGAGGTGCTGGCACGCGGGGCCCAGGGAGGGGTAGGCCAGGAAAGGGGTCTGGCAACGGTGCAGGAGTGGGCCCGGGCACAGGAGGCTCCGGACAAGCAGCAAGCTCGGGCTCCTGTTCCCGCAGGCCCGGTTCCAGGAGTGGGTCAGCGCAGCTGCACTCTAGGGCCACACCGTCGGAGGTGCCCGCGCACGCGCAGCTGGCTGGGATGGATGCCTCTGACACGCAGCTGTTCTTGCGGCGCAGCAGCGACAGGCGCCGGCCCAGAAAGGCCGTTCCAGCACCTGTCGACAGGAAGCGCTGCAGGAGGTCGCCGTGCGCCTCTCCCAGGGGGCCGTCCGCGCCGTCCAGCCGCTGGAACTGCATGTCCTCCTTGGCCAGTCTGCAGACAGACAAGGGTTGGCAATGTGGCCTCACCCCTAAGCTTTTTTCTTCCTTCATTTTTTGAGATAGGTCCTCATTTGTAGTTCTGACTGACACTGACTCACTATGTAGCCTAGGAAAGGATCCGCCCGCGGCCCCACCCACCCCACCAGCTCACGCGATGTCGAAGGTGGAGCCCTGAAAGGACGGCTGCTGCAACAGGAAGGCGGTGGCTGCCGTGTAGGGGGCACGGGCCTCCGCCGAGTCCCAATACAGGTCCTTCTCCAGCATAGCCAAGTCGTCGTACATCTCGTCCACAGCCAGCATGGATACCTGAGGGCGCAGACACGTGGGGTGGAGCGGGGCAGGGTGGCCCTCAGGATGGTGGCAGCGTGGTGCCACAGAGCAGAGCAGAGTGGCTCTGGGCGAGCCCTGGGCAGGTGTGGTGGGGCTTTGGACAAGGCGTTGTGGAAGAGGGTGTGGGCTGTCGCCCCAGATAGGCTCACCTGGAAGTTTCGATCAATCAGAAAATTGGTCTCAAAGTCATCATCGTCTTCTCCGAAAGGGTTGATGAGCTGCTCTGCGACCTGGGAGGGAACGGGAAGCCAGTGGGAAGCTTGGACCCTGGCTCTCCCCATCTGGCTCCTGTCCCTGTCCCTGCCTCACGGATCCTCCACCTTGAGCCAGCCGACGTAGAAGAAGAACTGCAGCAAGGTGAAGACAGGGACATAAAGGTCCAGGTTGTGGTCCTTGTAACCCTGGGCCGGATCCAGGAACTGGCGGCCCACGAGACAGGCCAGGAAGTAGCTGTACACCGCGATGGTCACCACCTGCAGGTGCACAGGGTGTGGGGATGTGAGCTTGGGTTCCCCAGCCACAGGGTCACCAAGAGGCCAGGACTGAGACCAGGCGGCCCCAGGATGGAATTTTAGCTGGCCCACAGGTCCCTTCAGGACCTCTGACACCTGATGTAACCTGAGGCATGCAGGGGTTACCTGGGTGTAGACGAGCGGCACACTGATCCAGTCGTAGTGAAAGAGCATCCCACATTTGCTCCGAAATGCATTTAGCTCCTGGGGGCAGATAGGGGCCAGGAATTCAGAGAGTGCACTGTGAGCTCCCCTGGACACCTGGGAGAAGAGGGGGTGGCACCTGAGAGTGCTTCTAGCAGGTCCAGGGAGGCATTTGGTGGAGTCTACCTAACAGAGATAAATGTGCACCTGGGGCTGCAGGGAAGGGGATCCGGAATCCACCTCGTAAGAGGAGGGAGACTGCAGCAGTTGAGAGCTCAGGTACATTTTCCCTGGAATTCTTTTTTGTTGTTGTCTTTGTGGTGGTTTGTTTGTTTGTTTGATTGGTACTGGGGATTTTATTCGCTCGTGAGCCAGGCAGCCAAACCACTGAACTAAATCCCCGGCTCTTTGTTTTTTGAGACAGGGTAGCTAAGGCTGCTCTTGAACTCACTATGTGGCCCAGGTTGGTCTCGAAATAGCAGAATCCTCCTGCCTCAGCCTCCTCAGTGCTGACATTGCACAGTAATGTGCTGCCACGCCCAGCTCTGGATTTTCTATTAACGACCTAGCAACCCACCTCGAGCAGGAGTTTGAAGGCGCTGTTGTCGCGGATGCGGCCCTCGCGCCGGGCCTGAGCCGCCAAGTTGGAGAACCACACGCAGGGCACCCAGTACTTGTTGTAAGAGGAATTTAGGTTCTCGAATTTCTTGCGCTCCTCGCGGGTCATGAATCCTGAGGAGCTCGGTCCGGGTTACTAGCCCCACCCACCACCCTAGCCACGCCCATCCCGACCCTGCCCCCGTTTAACCCCGCCCAGCCGGGCTGGGAGCTCACCGGCCTCTACCACGTGGTCTACAGTGGGGAAGCGCTTGAAGACCGCGGTGCTGACTGAGCGCAGGATGAGCACAGCCGAGAGCCCAGCGTAGCGCATGAGAGTGCGCCGGTAGAGGCGGCCGCGATCGTCCCGCCCGTGCACCGTCCCCGCCACCACGCACATGAGCGCGTCGGGCAGCGGCATGCACAGGTACTGGTTCCACCAGCGGTGCACCACCAGCGTCACGTAGAAGCCTGGGGGTGGGAATTGGAGGTTCAGCGGAGACACCAGGGACAGGAGCGTAGAGTGGTGGGACATTTACATCAGGGACACCCAAAAAAGCTGGTTAACCCGACCACGTGGGGCTGAGAACTTGAGGGTCCCACCCCTAAGGTCAGAGAAGCTGGTCCCTGGCTGCTTGGCTGTCACCTGCAATAGGAGATTTGGGTTTCAGTGTGGGGAAGAGACTCAGGGCCCAGGTGAAGGTATTACTGGGGGCAGTTTGTCTCCCTGGACACGAGAGCCCCTGGGCTGGGATTGTGGGAACGGTGAACACGGGGAGGGAGGCTTGGTTTGTGGGGGTGCAGTGTTCCTCACGGACATCAGTGACATCAAACCTCAGAAACAGGAGTTGGGTGCAGGGTCTGAATCAGAAAGCCTGGGCAGGACACGCCATCCATAGATAGGGGAGGCTGGGGTCATACAAGGTCTCTGGGAGCCTTCAGGACCCCTCCATGTCAGAAAATGCAGTCACATGGGGTCCCTGGAGGGGGTTCTTGAGGGACATTGGTAATCTCATGTAGACAGGTGTGGCACTATGGCCAAGCAATAGCTAAAGCCCTGGGGTCTCCCTGGACATCTTCCTGGTGTTGTGGATCCACAGTGGGGAATATAGAGGTTGGATTGGAAGACAAAGTCTCACAGGGACAAGAAAAGGATTCCCCAAGAGGCATGATGCAATGTGTTCCTTGGGGACAAAGGCACAGGGTATCTGGGGTGTGATCGCACCTAGCACGAAGGAGACCGGGATGAGGCTGGCGTACTGGTCACAGTAAATGACAAGCTTCTCAAAATAGCGCTTCTGCTCTTCAGCCAGCATGAAACTGCGGGTAGAGGGTGAGGGTCATGGGGCGCTCCTTCCTTATCACTTGCTCTCTCTGAGACTGAGTCTTCCTGTGTAGCCCAGGCTGCCCTTGGATTTGTGCGATCCTCCTGCCTTAGCCTCCCCAGTGCTGGGATAACAGGCATGACGACGGCCTCCTCCAGCTCTCTTGCCATGGGCCCTTCCCTTTCGCCTTGCTTAGCCACTTTCCCCTGCCTCGGAACACTTGGCCAGCCTCACTGGTCCCCAGCCCACTCACCGGTAGGCGGCGCTCAGCGCCATGTAGAGGGCGAGGAAGCTCAGCAGCTCTCGCCACAAGAGCTTGTAGATGCTCCCTCGCCACAGCAGCAGCAGCTGTGAGAAGCCTCCGAAGCGGGCGTTGGCCACCCGGGCTGTGTAGGTAACAGTCATTGCAGTGTCCTGTCCGTGGGCAGAGGAGAGGCGGCTGGAGTGGGCTGAGGGGGACTCCAGGAGGGAGCCGGCTCAGGGCTTCCAGCAGGGGTGGAGGGGCGCCAGGGGACAGAGCACAGTGACCACCCCACGCTGGCTGTCCCCACAAGGACCTGTCCTTGCCCAGGTTCTCTTGCCCAGCCCTGCTTGGGCCCCTCCAGCCCCAGGCCACCTTTCTAGCCTCCCTCGTGGAGGCTGTCCCTGTCCCTGGACTCATGGTGCCTGTTTCCTTCAAAATAGCACTTCTGCTCTTCAGCCAGCATAAAACTACAGTAGAAGGTGAGGTCTGAAAGCTCTTTCCAGGGGGCCCCACCTTGTAGATCCTGGGTTCATGGAATCAGCGCCTGTATTGCTTTCTGCCTTGTCCCATCTCACTTACCTGAATGTCATCCCCAGCCTCCCTCACTTCCCGAGTCCCCTGCGCCTCTGTTTCAAGATTCTCAGTGTTTCCACTGCCTCCCCATCTGCTCCCTCATCCGCCCTCCTGGTCCCCTCTGTCCACTCCTTCAGCCTGGTCTGGCCCATCTTCCCCTCTGTACTCCCTGAACTCTCATCACTGACTCCAGGCTGCTGGACTATGCCCCAGCCCCCTGTGTCACACTGGCTGCCTCTGTGGCCACGTTGCCTCCACCTGTCCACCTCTCCCTCAGTGTACTGGCTCTGCCCCTTCCTGTTTCCCCTTCAGACCCACCTTGACCTTTCCCCTTCCCTCCACTTCCCACCCTGAGACAGAGTCCTCCAGGTCCTTGGAGATCCCCTTGTCGCCCAGCCTGGACCCTTCTCACCTGTGCTGAGGGTGTGGGGTGCAGGACACAGGGGACAGAGACTGAATGGGCTGGTGCCTTCGGTGCTGGGTGGGGCTGAAGCCAGACACTGGGCAGGAGGGAACAGGGGAGTGGGCGTGGGCAGCACCTCCCCTGCTGGTCCCCCTGGCTGAGCTGCGCCTCAGAACTTTGGAGAAGTCCCACAGCAGGGGAGAAATCAGCCTCCTTGCTCCTCCCTGTCCCCCTCCCAGTTGTTCTCTGGCTGGTTGGACGGCTCTGGAGGTACAGCCAGGGGAGGGGCCAGGGATGTCTCCTTCCTGGACACCCATGGTGTGGCTGGGTCCTGCCACAGTTCCAGAAATCACACAGCACACAGAAACACAATACTGTAGACCCAGACCCCACTTTGGCGTCCCTGAGCACAGCCTCACACACCCATGGTGACCCACACAATGGTGCACTGTCCCAGGGTTATGGAAGGGTTCAGCTCTACACTTGCTCCCCAAAGCAATAAGGGGGTGGACCCTGAACACACCCAGCTCTCCGCTCATGGGCTCAAATGTGCCCCCACAGCCATGTAGGATGACAGCAGAAGGGAAGGGATCTGTACACCCTCATGGTTGCTCTATGCAGCACACACACACACAAGGTCATCAGCCAGCCAAGCGCAGAGCTCACTAGGCCCCAGGCGCTTTCCTGCACAGCCACATGTGCAGTCACACAGGGCTTAGTCCCATCTCCCCTGGACGAAGGTACCCGGCTTCACAGCCCAGTTCAGCGACCTCCCTCCACACAGTCCTGGGGTCAGGCATGGCCCTGGTGGTTCTGAGAATCAGTGTCACAAACATCCATGCTCCTGTCAGTCCCAAGGACTATAACCCTGCGTAAGCTGGATGTGGTGGTGCATGTCTGCCAATCCAGCACTCAGGAGGCTGAGGCAAGCCCAGCCTGAACTATGTATTGAGACCCTGTCTCAAAAACCAAACCCAAGGCCAGAGATTTAGCTCAGTGGCACTTTGTCTGCTTTGAAAGCACAAGGTCTTGAGTTCGATCCCTGTTACAAAAACAAAACAAAAAAAGAAAACCCACCTAAACCAACCAACAAACCCCAAACAAAACAAACATGAAACGTTAATAGAAGCCTCCCACACAGGCCTCAGACACTCGGCATTGGCAAGAATAAGCAAACTTAAGGGCGTAAATCCTTGTCCCCTTGATACATTTGGTATCAAGTTAGGGCAGGTGCTTCAGATACATCTCCAAAGGGGGCCTCTCAGCCCATACCGAACTCCATGCCTCAGCCTCAGGACACCCACATGCAGAGGTGGAGGCCCAGGGTTCTGGCCTGGGGAGCAAGGAGCCAGGTTGCCCTTGAGCCCCTCACATGCACCCCTGTGCTGCTAGGTGTGTGGACAGCTCTGCACACCACTGCCCGAGGCCTGCCTGTCAGAACACTGTGTTCCCAGGCTGGCAGATGTCTGCCCCACCCGTGGTAATTAGGAACTGGCTCAGTCCGCCACCCTCGGTCCTGTGCCTCCACTGTCCAGCTGCTGGACAGCCTATAAACTGGAGCAAGGAGACATCTGGAGCCACACCAACAGCCACACCAACAGGGACATGCGGAGGGCACAGGCTGCACCCACTGCCTAGGTTGTACCCTTACATGCACTGCACTCACCCTTCCTTGACTGTCCTGCTCCCCAGGACACGTGGGTCTCAAATACTTTTCTTTGGTGGTACTGGGGCTGGGACCTAGGGCCTCCACACTGAGCTGCCTCCCATTCCTTTTTGTTTTTTATATGGATACAGGGTCTTACTAAGTTTCCTAGGTTGGGCTTCAATTTGTGATCCTCCTGCCTCAGCCTCCTAGAGTGCTGAGATGCTGATGTGGGTCATCTCGTGCCCAGCTCCTAAACGCTTGTGACTGTGGGACCTCTGAGGGTGGGGACAGGTTCACACGCCTGCTCATCACAATAGCAAACAATAACAGCTGCTCCTTGGCAGGTCCCTGCCTGGCACACTGTTGTACCACCCTCACATATTTCCTGTCAGTGTTCCCACAGGTGGGCACATGAAGCCAGTGCTCATCATTCACCTTATCCAGGTAGGGAAATTGAGGCCTAGATGGCACAGCCCCTCAGTGCAACAGTAGGGCCCTCCTCCTGGGCAGGATGCCAGGAGCCCTTGTGACAGCTGTACCGTCTCTACAGTGCCCCTCCATGCCCACACCTGCTCACGCATGCCCTGTAGAGCCTGGAGGGGGACACGTCTAGGCTCGTGCCCGAGTTCCCTGTACACCCTGGCACACCCAGCCCCTGGGTGTGTGCACCCTGAAAACCCTCCTGAGTCATGCATGCCTTTAGGCGCCCCCCCAACTGTCCCACGCAGCTTCAGCTGGACCCTGGCAGCACTCAGAGGTCACGCCACCCTGTCTCAGTGGGGGTAACTGTGGCTGCCCAGGCTGTGCAGTGAAGTGATAATGACAGGCAGGGGCAGAGGGGGGTCACAAGGAGCCTCCCAGGAGGCATGCGGACGCTGAGGAATTTGCCGTAGCTCAGTGAGTACTCGGGGCCCGTTTAAGGGCAAGAGGACCAAAGCTCCAACAGCAGAGGTAGATGATGCCAGCCCATGAGACCCCTCTGGAGGCAGGACTGGCCTCTGGGGTTCCCGCATCAGCCCCACCGCTGCAGCCTTGGCTAGGCTGCACCATGGGGGTGGGAGTGGGGATCACTAATCCTGTCTAGTTGGCCTAGCCTCTGCCCAGGGCGCCTGCTAATTCCCAGACCAAACAGCGGGAAATGCTGGGCCTGCTGCCAGCTTAATTTGCTCCCCACCAACCTGGGGCAGGGCAAGGAGACTCCTGGTTCCCACAATCTGAGTCTCCAAGGAATGGGCCAAACTCCCCACCCTTCTATTCCAGGCCACCTCTGCCCATGCAATTGCAGCCAGCATCCCATCTCAGTCTCCCTCCAAACTTGCCACAATAAACATGAATTTGTTACTGAATTAGGTCTGTCTCAACTGTTTAGGTGCAAAGCTTTTGTGCAGTGCCCAACTTGTACAACTGTATGTAAAGATGTACAGCCCCCATCCTGTATCAACAAACACAGCAGTTTAAGATTATTTTATTGAGGAGTGAGAGGGGGGGAGAGGAGGGGAGCAACTACAGCCCCTCAGCCCCACCAGGGGGAATAGACCCCCTCCCCGCCTCCCACACCCCCAAGTGGCTCCCCCTGTACTATGGAGGACTTGTGCAAACTCTGCCCGGGGGGAGTGGGGAGGGTGCAGGATGGGTGGGAAGTGGCAGCAGCTGGGGCTGGGTGGCAGTGCTACTGGGCACTGGGGGGCTTGTAGGGCTCCAGGAGGAGGGCGGAGAAGGTGTTGACCTTGTCGGCCCCCCGCACCTCATGGGGTAGCAGTGGCAGCTTCACGATGTGGAAATCTTCATACAGGTCCTCCATCTGCAGCCGAAGCAAAGGGCAGAAAGTGGCAGTTAGGGGGAAGGAGGGCAAGGACAGGAAATGGGTCCATGGGAGGCTGAGGCAGGAGGATCAAAAGTTCAAGCCCAGCCTGGGCAATTTAGTGACTTAAGATCCTGTCTCCAAGGAAAAAAAAAGGGGGGGTTGATGTGGCTCAGTATGAAGGCCCTGGGTTCAATCACCAGCATGGCAAAAAAAGAAAAAACCAAAGAAAAATCAGAGGGCACCATGGAGAGCAGAGGCCCTGCTGGGCTGGGCGCTGAGATCCGGGCACACCTGGTCCAAGTACTTGGCCTGGATCTTGTGGCGAGCTTCACACATTTTGCAGGGCCTCTCAGGGTCGGGGAAGACGAGCTGGTTGACGATGATGTTGTGAGTGTCAATCTTGCACTTGGCCAGCTCCTGGATCAGCCGCTCAGTCTCGTACAGGGACAGGAACTCTGCGATGCACACGCAGATGAAGGTCGTCTGCTCCTGCAGAGGAGCCAAGACAGGACAGGAGGGGCTGGTTTGGCCCTGTCTGTGTGCCCCCAGCCTCTCTCTCGCCTGTGGAACCATGACTCACAGGGTCCTTGAACTGCTCGCTGACAGAGCGGATGACAGGAAGCGTCTCTTCCAGCTTGGACGCCAGCTGGTCAGCATTCATGTCGCCCAGCCCCAGCATGTTGCACATCTGTGGGGAGGATGGGGTAGGCTTGCTGTGCACCGGGGGCTCACA